GCGCAAAACGCCCGACGCCAAAAAGCGCCGCGCAGGGGGGACTTTTGCGCACGGGGCGCGCAGGGCCGTTTTTTCCCCCCTTTGCGGCCGCCTTTCCGCGACGGGGGGTCCGGTGAGGCTCGGAACCGTCGCGGGGGCCGGCACCGAACACGGGCCGGGCCGGGGAGCCGGGAGCCCCTCCGGCCCCATCGCCAAAGCTGCTGCGCGGCCCCGGCGCCGGAGCGGCCCCGGGGAGGGGGGAAAGGCCCCGGCGGCGGCTCGGCCCTTCCGAGGGGGCGGGGGGCGCCGAGCGGGGCAGGGGACGATGAATAGGGAGGACCCGGCAGGTTTTTTGTTTTTTTGTTTTTGTGCCTGTGCAAATTGGACGACAAAAAAAAAAAAAAAAAAAAAGAGGGACAAAATCTGGTGAGCGAGTTTGCAACCCTTAGGCTGCCCACTTCAAACGTCCTCCAGACAAAAGCTGAGGAGGAAAAGAAAGCCCCACCTGGTACCACTGTTTGCTAAAATAATAATAAATAGATTTCGTTTAATAAATAATTACAAGAGATTGTAAAGTGGAGTGCTTTGGGAAGCATTAATCATGGGGCTGGGGGCAGACATCACCTGCCGGCAAACAAGACAACGTTTTTGTTAAATCACCTTCCCCGCGCCGCTCGCCGATAACCCCCCCCGTGGCCACCGTGCCCGGCCGCCCGTGTTTACTCACAGGCACCATAAGGAGCCCCGTGTGTCCCCCCCCCGCGACGTGATAAAGCCCACGGGGGCCGCGCGCTGCCGCTCGCACCTGGCCGCGCAGCCCCGGCGCGGGGCTCGCCCCCGACGGCCCCGCCGCCGTTTACATTGGCCTGGTTTATGCTCCTTTATAGCAGCTTTACTGCAAGCCCTATCTCCCGGCCCTATTTGCCTTATTTTATTGAAAACATATGGTAGCCGGGCCCGCGCGGGCCCCGCTGCCGCCTGCCAGGCGTTGGAGACGTTGGGCAGCGCCGCCCGCCCGCGGCCCGCCTGGCCCGCCCGCCGCTCC